CTTTTTCTTCCTGAACTCCCCCACGCATTGATCTCTTTCGACCACTTTTCAGTCCCCTTCCTTCTCTCCTGTGACCCTGCACTTCTCTTGTAGCCTCTCATTCCATTCCATTCCATTCCATTCCATTCCATTCCACTCGTTTCCTATTCTATCTATAGAAGGTAGACTTCTATTCTATATCCTTTATGGGCATCTCCTCCCTTACCTGCCTTTAGAGTCCGTGTTTCTTAGGTTTGTCCTCAGCACACTGGTCTCACACTATTCACCCTGCCACACCCCTGAGTTCTCAGGAGGACCAGGTTTCACTACAGACCTCACCTGTAAGAGGTGAGCCAACCCAGGTTACTGACTTTAGAGACTCTTGTCCTTGGCGTGGGTAATACCAATACCTTAACACCTAAGTGAGCTCTTGATGTTCTTCCTTTGGTCACTGAATTAGTCAATATTAGCCTTGACTAAACAGCGTAAAGAGTAGAATGATCACTTAGTGGGCAAGCAATAAAATGCATCATAACCCGGTGGTCAATAATAGAGGCTCTAGAATTAGATCTATAAGCTGTCCATTTGAAGCTCCGCCCCTTATTGAGAAGCCTTGAGTAAGATGATTAACCTCTTGTGCCTCACTTTCTTCATCTATAAAATGGAGATAAGGTATTAGCGCTTTTACTCCTGAAGTATAGTAAATACATCACATAGCTATTAGCACTGGCCTCCAAATCTCAGCTTCTTTTTGAAACGATACGCTTATTCTTCACCTTTAAAATAGGCACAGTGACACCTACTTCCCACAGTTGCTGCAAGGGCCTGAGAAAGTGTCTGTAGCACTGGCATGTCATTGGCCCTGAAATTTGTAGGTTCATATTTATAATGGGATTTTCAGAATGCATGTCCTTTTCTATTCTTTTCCAAGCAGGAACCATGACTGGGTTAGACTTTGTGTGTTTCCAGTCAACATTTTTATCCATTGAATTTTCCTCTGGATGGCTGGAGAGCAGCATCCCCGCCTTTGAGAATTTCACAATGGCAACGCACAACCAAGCTGCTTGGCCAGATGAGTCAACTCAGGTGCCTTTTAGGTATGATTTACGTCAGTAGTTCTCAAACTTTAGCAAGGAGGGCTTGTTAAGTCACAGAATTCCCAGAAATTCTGAGTCAGTCGGTCTGGGGCAGGGTCCTCAAATTTGCATTTCCCACAACTTCCCAAGTGATACTGAACTGATACTTTGAGTAGCACTGGTCCACACAGACAAGGTGGACAGGCTTTTGGAAATAAGTCAATATCAAACGGAATAAGTCTTGCCAAACAACTGACAATGGGTTGGGCATCAACCCTTATCAAGATAAGCAGAAAATAGTCACACACACCGGTATACTCAATGTTAATAGAGTCTAAGACCATAACAACAATAACAATAGGCATTTATTGATTTGGGGCTATGTGCCAAACTTTTTAAAAAGTCCTTTGCACATAATAAATTTATTTTTATCGTTTTATTTTCTGAATGTCTTTAAAAATTAATTAACAGCATTCTCTGGATCATCTCTATGACCATCTTATACTGCCATACAAACTAAATGCCTCATTTTTGTTTGTGTCCATGATCTTATTAACAGCAAGAGGCATGATTTATTTGTCAAGAGCTAGGAGAAAGTGGAAAAGGTAAACTTAATATGCACGGGATGTCTTCAGCTTAGGGGTAGCCAGATGGAGCCCTAGATGAACCATTTATTTTATTTAAATACATACACACACACACACACACACACACATATATATATATATTATTGATTTCAGAGAGAGATAGAAACATCAATGATGAGAGAGAATCACTGATCGGCTGCCTCCTGCACACCCCACACTGGGGATCCAGCCTGCAACCCAGGCACATGCCCTGACTGGGAATCAAACCCGGGACCACCTGGTTCATAGGTCGATGCTCAACCACTGAGCCACGCTGGCTGGGCAGAACCTGTGCTTTAGTGACATTCTGAGCAACAAAACCACGTAGTATAAACCATCTATTATTTTATTAATTTTATAGTTTTGTTTGTATTTAATTTTCTAAACTTGTTTTTGTTCTTTTGTTGTATAAAATCTTTTTGTATTAAAAAATAGCATGAGGAATTTAATAAAAAGCAATTTGAATCAACATAAGAAACATGGCTCACTTCAAGAAAGCAGTCAGGTAGCTGGGTTGGTTGGAGCATTGTCCTATACACCAAAAAGGTTGGGAGTTCAATTCCCAGTCAGGGCACATACTTTGGTTGCAGGTTGGAGGTTTGATACCCGGTCGGAGTGTGTACAGGAGGCAACCAATTGATCTCTCTCTCTCTCTCTCTCTCTCTCTCTCTCTCTCTCTCTCAAAATCAGTAAAAGCATATCCTTAGGTGAGGATTTTTTTAAAAGAATGTTTCTCTCCTTTATAAAAAAGAAAATAAGCCCTAACCGGTTTGGCTCAGTGGATAGAGCGTCGGCCTGCAGACTGAAGGGTCCCAGGTTCGATTCCTGTCAAGGGCATGTACCTTGGTTGCGGGCACATCCCTAGTAGGGAGTGTGCAGGAGGCAGCTGATTGATGTTTCTCTCTCATCGATGTTTCTAACTCTCTATCCCTCTCCTCTCCTCTCTGTAAAACATCAATAAAATATATTTTTTTAAAAAAAGAAAAGTATTTCTTGAATTATGCCCAAATATGCCATCCTATATGCTTCATCCTTTGGTCTCCATTTTCCCTCTATAGTAACAGACTCAGCCACTTTTTGACTAGAGCTACTACAAAGCTCTTTTTCTTTTTTGTAGGTCGGTTCATTTCTCAAACTTATGTGTACACTTTTTAAAATTATTTTTTAAATATATTTTTATTGATTTCAGAGAGAGGAAGGGAAAGGGAGTGATGGAAACATCGATGAGAGAGAATCATTGATCAGCTGCCCGCTGCAGGCACCCTACTGAGGATCAAGCCCTCAACCTGGGCAGGTGCCCTGATCAGGAATCAAACAGTGACCTTCTGGTTTACTAGTATAGGTGGATGCTAAACTACTGAGCTATGCTGGTGGGGCTAGAATTTTTTTTTAATCCAACTTTCATGCTGGTCATTTTGAAACTATTTTATTTTTCCTAGCCAACTAGTTTCTCCTCCCTACTTTACTTCAACTCTCTCTCTTTTTAATTTCAGTGGTTTTTTTTGTTTCTTTTTTCCAGATTTACTGAGATATAACTGGCATATAACATTATGTAGGTTTAAGCTGTACGTGTTGACTGATGCTTTTTTTGTTTCTTTTTTCCAGATTTATTGATATAATTAGCATATAACATTATGTAGGTTTAAGCTGTACGTGTTGACTGATGCACTTATTGCAGAATGATGCCCACCATAGCCTTAGCTAACACCTCCATCCAGGCACACCAATGCCATTTTTTCTGTGGTGAGAACATTTATGATCTACTCTCTTGGCAATTTTCAACTCTCTTTCTTTTAACTGTCACAAAATCAGATTTCCATCTCCAAAACTCTGCCTACTCAAGGAAAAAAATTGTCACCAAATATAGGGATGGAAGGGTAATATTTACTCTTATCATTTGGAGGTATGAAAGAATTAGGTAGTATAAAAGAATCTGAAAATATTTTTACAAAGTAGAGTTATATATGCTAAGTACCAATGGTGCTCATGGATTTTCATAGGTCATTCAAATAACATCCATTCCACACTTACTGTGTGGCAGGCACTGTGTTGGGTGCTATGGGGAGTTATAGAGCTGAAGACATAATCTATGCCTTCAAAGAATTTACAAGTTCTCTTTTCACCTATACAAACTTGACTCTCCACAAAAAGAATAAGGATATATTGAAGGCCATAAATGAGATGTTTTAAATTTTCTGTATAGATCTGTTTTAATTTTTAAATGTGGGGCATAAACACTACTTATGTTTTAAAAACGTAATGACAGCACAGTGCCTAATGTAGTTTTTTTACACAATCTGATCATTTGAACTTTCAAAGGTTTGAAATGTCCTTGAGCCACTTTTATGTGACTGTTTGTTTGTATGGCAATCATTGGCATCTGCATTTGGCACACCATTCAATAGATTCCGCTCAAGGGCAGTTATTATTCGGCTCCCAATGTCGTAGAAGCTAGCAGAGTGCATGGTAGGCATTCCATAAATATTTGTTGAATGAAGAAATACAAAGATAAATGGGTTAACCTACTTGTGGGTTAACCTCTCTGTCCTTTCCTCTGAAATTTTACAAACTTACTACCTGTGTCCTTGTTGGGAGAGTAAACTCATAGGACTACACATTGCGTCATTTTTATATTTCATGTGTTATATTTTATTCCTTCTAAATCAGCGGTTCTCAACCTGTGGGTCACGACCCTTTTGGGGGTCGAACGACCCTTTCACAGGGGTCGCCTAAGACCATCGGAAAACACATATATAATTACATATTGTTTTTGTGATTAATCACTATGCTTTAATTATGTTCAATTTGTAACAATGAAAATACATCCTGCATATCAGATATTTACATTACGATTCATAACAGTAGCAAAATTACAGTTATGAAGTAGCAACAAAAATAATTTTATGGTTGGGGGTCACCACAACATGAGGAACTGTATTAAAGGGTCGCGGCATTAAGAATGCTAAATAAAATACAGTTGAAATAAGCTATTATTACTTCCTTCTTTCTTAATTCTTAAAGAAGTAAGTTCAAATTTCTCTTGAAAAGAAAACAGCAAAAAACAAACAAAATCAACAGTCATACATTTCTTAACTATGTGTAAGGTTGTGAATAGGTAAAAGGTGACATATCTAAGCTACATATTTTAATAGGCTTTTCCTAGAGGTCTATAACATGCCAGCCCAGGTGAAGAGATAAGAAGAGGTAAGAGAAAATGGAAAGTTATCTTGGAAAAGGGAACAATCCGGTTTGAGGAAATTATACAACCAATATAGTAAAACCTTAACGAGGAGAACACGGCCAATCAAAAGATGCTTACCTTTGCACCCCTCACAGGTTAGTGCGTTATAATGGTATCCGGATGCTCTGTCTCCACAAACAACACATAGCTCGTCTCCTTTTATTCTCCCGGCTGACGTGCCCATTCGAGCCTTCTTTGTCACAGGAATCTCTGCTACCTCAGTCTCTCCCTGGTAGAGGGTCTCAGTGGGCAGTGGCTTGAGTTCATATAGTCCAGGAGAGTACCACTCTTCAGGCTGCTGGGGGTAGAAACCCAGGCTGGAATAATAGGATGAGGAGGAAATCTGTGGTTGAACTTGAGGAAACTGAATGTTGTTGTATTGTGAGTATGATTCCACTTCTAGGTTCTGCCCCAGAGGACCTGTTGTTGGCTCTGTTAGTACACCTGAGCAAAAGCGACAATAAAACTGGAATTAACATTATCACTCTATAAATTAGAGAGGCAGTTAAGCATACAGTATGTTTAGGAGTGTGGGCTCTAAGAAAAAACTGTAATATTTACCTACATAAAAATGAACCTTTTTTTACATAAAAAAAAGCCTACATAGAGAATCAAAGGACTAAATTACAAGCTCAGAAAATATCTACAACATACAAATAATGTGTAAAGAGCTCTTTCAAACCAGTAAGAAAATACTCAATGTGGAACAAAAAAGAAAAAAAGAATTTTTTTTAAAAAAAAGCATTCAACATGCAAAACATTTAGCATCCCATGGACAAATGATAGAGGACATCAATGGCCAGTTTTTAGAAATAAAAACACAAGCATGTTATAAAGACATAAAAATGTGCCCCTCCTTGCCAATAATTAAATTTAAATAGAAACTGCAATAGAAAAAGATTACAGTGTTCATCCTTAAATATATAAGGATTTAAAAAGTTTGACAATACACACTCTTGAGAAAGCAAAATTCTTGGAGGACATTCTGTCCATATCTTTCAGCATTTAAAACTCAAATACTCTTTTAGCACAACAATCCACTGCTAGAAAATTAATCTTAAAGATATGATTTAATCTGAATGAAAAAATGTTTGTGTGAAGTGTTCATTTGCAGCAATGTTTGCAAGCATCATATTTGCAAATATCCATCAATAGGAGTCTGGTTAAATAAATTATATTATGTCCCTACACTGAAATACTTTGTAGATGTGGAACAATCATTTAGATCTATATGGGCAGATGTGGAAAAGTTTCTATAATATGATGCTTTATGAAAAAAATTAAGCTATAGAATATTATACACACACACACACACACACACACACACACACACACACACACACACTAGAGGCCCGGTGCATGAATGAACATGCACTGGAGGAGGGGGTCCCTCAGCCTGGCCTGGCCCCTCTCACAGTCCAGAAGCCCTCAGGGGCGGGAGGTGACCTGGCCATCAGGGGAAGGCGACGCCCCATCACACCTCTGCTGCTGCCACTGCCGGCAGCGCGATCCTCGGCCGGCCCTGATTACCTGCACCTCGGGCTGACCCTGGGTGGCTGGGGGGCTGAGGGGATTGGGGGTCTCCGGAGGCAGGCACGAAGAGTGGCCAGGCTCACTTAGGGGCAGGCTCGGCCTTGCCGCACGCACACCTGCCGCCCTGGCAGGGCTAAGGGCCATCTTTGAGGGCGTGGCAGCAATTAGCATATTTCCTCCTTATTGGCTGTGGGCACTGCCATCTTTGAGGGCAGGGCAGTCAATTAGCATATTCCCTCTTTATTAGATAGGATATATGAGTATTAAAAAACACTGTGTATGTGAGGCTATTTTTTGCTCAGTGCAAAAGGAACTGGATGATGGCAACTGTGGGAAGTGAGATTGTTGGATTGTTTTCTGAGGTGGGATATTACACAATCTTTTTACTATTTGTAATTTTTCCATATATATATGTGTGTGTGACTTTAATTATTATAAAACAAAGGAGAAGCTTAAAAAAAGAATGCAGTACCTGAAATTAGTTTACCAGGGTTCAAATCCTAGCTCTGTTTTATTACTTACTATCTGCGTATGCTGACAGTTTACTTAACATCTTTAAGTCTTGGTTTTGTCTTTATAAAACAGAGTAAAACACCTACTTCATTCGGTTGATATAAGGATTAAACAAGGTAATGCATGCAAAATGCAAGCACTTTGCAAATGTGTGCACACATAACGTGCTAGATAAATTATAGCTGCCATCAAAATAGTAATAATAATTATTCCTACTGCCATTATGAAATGAGCCCCTTATCTATAAAACCTCTAGGTAACAGAAAACTATCAGGCTGTGAAAATGCTTCTATTTGCTAGAAACATAAACTATGGCTCTTTAGAATACAGCAGTGTTTAAATTATACAAAACATTTTTTAAAATGTTATGGGCATAAATAAGATATAGGTGAGTACACAAATAGGTCTGATTCTTCAAAGCACAGTCAGGCAACCCTAGACCAAAATTCCTACTCCACCTCTGTGAACAATGAGACTTTGGGCAAATTAAACTGCTGAAAACCTCCGTTTTTACAGCAGTAGGCTTGGGATGGAAATATCTATATCAAGGGTTGCTGAAAATTAAGATAATACAGGTCCACAGTTCCTCATCTGAAACCCTTGGAGTCAACTGTATCTTCAAATTCAGAGTCGTTTGAATTTTAGAACAAAATACAGTGCTATTTCTCCCAGCGTGGTCTGGAGCAGAACCCAGAATAAAATAGCAATATTTCCCACAATGCAATGTATACATGCTCACACTAAGAGAATAAATAAAGGTCATAAATACCCTCAATTCATTCAGGTCAGGTTTTGCCACAAAAGAAGTTTGTGCCATACTTTGGGGGAGGGGAAAGCTTATTTTTTAGAGTGTTTGGAATTTGGAATTGTCAATTAGGGATTGTGGAACTCTGCATCTCTGCATGAAGAATGCGCTTCACAATGCTTAAAAGATGGTTGCTACTACTATGATTATTTCTATTACTGTTAGAAAACTTTATCAGAGAGTTCTTCCTAGTGCCAGGCAACTTGTATATCCTCACATCCTTCTCACAAAATCCTATGAGGTACATAACATTATTACCCCCACTTGCAAACGATTAGCCCGTGGTGTAGAGAATTTAGGCAACTTTACTCCTACCCACCTAAGTAGCTGAGCTTTGAACTTTGGGAGTCAGACCTCAAAGCCCATGTGCTGCACTATTTCTCTCTAGGAAAATTTCAGATGAGTGGTGCTTTAGAGCAGGGGTGGGGAACGTCCGGCCTGCGGGCTGTATAAGGCCTGCAAATCATTTCGTCTGGCCCTACCAAGGTAAAAGGGGTGAGTTAATTAAATGTTACACCAAATATAGCAGACTAATTTTTAAGTCGATAATTTTGTATGGCCCTCAAATGACGATATAAATATTCAAATGGCCCTTGGCAGAAAAAGGCTCCTCACCCCTGCTTTTTTGAACATGATTTAAAGCCTTTCTCTTCCTCTCTCTGCTCTTGAGTTCTTTAGTCCTCCACTGCTTCTGCCTGCAGATAACCGACAACTAGGCCTGCAGGCCTCAGTGTGGTCCTCCCCTTTCTTTCTTTTCCAGCCATTCCTTGAAGGTTCCTTGCTGATGCCAGACTCAGGGACCTGCCCGTGTGCTGCTTTTGGAGCCTGGCACTTCCCTCAATATAGTCACCCCCTCTGAGAACTTCCTCTCACCAATATCCACTTAACTCTAAACTTCCCTTTAAGTATAGTTTCTCTTAGAAGTTTTCCCTGACTCTAGGTCCCTGGGAGTCCTGGCTCTGAATCTAGTTATATGATACTTACCTTCCCTGCCTGGGCCAGCATTTGCTCATCTATAAAGAGAAGACTCAATGCTGGATAATCTGATAGTTCTTTTGTATATCTAAAATATCTACAAGTATATGACTAACAGTCTATGGGCATTAGAATTCAGGGCTTTTTGACAATGGCAAAGTGGAGTATATGTATATTTAATGCTTGTTGAAAAAAATGCTGCCTACATTGACCCAGGAAAGGATTGATAGAGCACAGAGTATACAATATTGGTGCAAATATCAATTTCCTCTCTTTTATGCTCAGCTCAACCATATAAAACCAGCATTGAGTCAGAATATCTGACAAAAAGATTTGTCTAATGACCACAAAATGGAAGAATACAAAAATATGGAATTAGAGCAGAAAAAAGAAAAGATATGAATAACATCCTGATCTATTTAATAATTAAGTGTGACTAAAATTTCTGGAGTGAATAGGCTAGAAAAGAACTTAACATTAAAAACAGTTTCACTTGCACTCATATCTAGATTTTATCCTCCAAACCATCTTACCCCTAATCAACTCTACATCCCCACCCCCAAGCCCCAGTTACTCTCCACCTATACTTCCAGGAAGGTTAAGCAACTTGCCTGAGGTCAAACAATCAAGTAAGGACAGAATCTGGATTCTGCAGAGTCCAAGGAAATATGTAAGTTTTTCTCCTCACATGACAATTCCAAATCTCTGAGCATTATTCCAACAAAACAAATCTTTTAAAAAATCAAAAGACACAATGAAGTCCCAAAACAAATCACATCATCAAATCAATATCATATCAATCTCTGGAATCATCTCAATGAAAATGGAAAGCTTTCACAAAGACATCAATTCTATTACACGAAAACAACAAAACAGGCAAGAATATGAGGTCAGTGCACAATATTAATAAATAATGCCTCTCTTCCCAAAGCACACCTACTTCTAGTATTTCACAGTGTCGCCACCAAATCTCTACAGAGTAGACATGAAATATACAGACAACTTACAATTTTAAAAAATCCACCATAGCCAACATATTTCTAAATGGGGCACTAAAACAACTTCTCCTGTGAGACCTTGAGCTGCTGTGAGACCTTGAGGTACTACCTAACATTTTTGTCTCAATTTCTTCTGTAAAATGGAGCTATTAACACCCAGCCTTGAAATCTCCTAAGGTAGTTCTGAGTATAAAATCACAGTTATTGGGAAAAGTTTTGACAAGGTGAGTGCCATAAAAAGATATATCTGTTTCCTAAGGAACCTGGCAAAATCCCAACTCTAATAATAGTTCATTAGTAATTGTTCATACTTATCAGTCTGTTTTAATGACATAAATTATAGGATACTTTTTCACTTATGTATGTATATTGAACACTTACTATTTGCTAAACACTGGGCTAGGCTCTGAGGATAAAACAATGAGTAAGACAGAGAGACAACAGAAAAGGCCACAGCCATTGTGTGTGTGTGTGTGTGTGTGTGTGTGTGTGTGGTGAGGGGAAAGTCAAAGACTGGGATAAAACCAAGTAAACAAACAACTGATAGAGCATAAGACATGAGGGGGCAGAGGCAGTAAGTCAAGTTTAGAGCGTGCTTCCTGAAAAGGAAATTTTATTTC